CCAGAAAAATGGAGCGCAACTGGAAGAAAACTAAACTAGAGGTATTTCGGATTTCATGGAAAGAGAGCTCGATTGCTTACAGAGAGGCTTTAAAAGCTGCTAGATCTGCTTATTTTTCAACCCTATTAGAAGAAAATAAATATAATCCTAGGAATTTATTTGAAACAGTAGCTAAACTAACGAAAAAGAAAGCTTCAACCCCAGAAGTGTCCAAGCAACACAGCAGTGATGACTTTATGAACTTCTTTACTTATAAGATTGATAATATCAGGGACAAAATTATAACTATGCAACCGTCTACCAAAGTATCGCATCAGGGAGTGAATTGTAGTGTCCCTGAGGAAAAATTTGATTCATTTGTTGCCATAGGAGAGGACGAATTTTCTAAACTCGTTAAATCATCTAAATCGACAACATGTATGTTAGACCCTATACCGACTAAGCTACTGAAAGAGATGCTTCCAGAGGTCATAGATCCTCTTCTTACTATCATTAATTCGTCTTTGTCTCTCGGATACGTACCAAAAACCTTTAAGCTGGCTATGATAAAACCGCTTGTTAAAAAACCGCAACTTGATCATACAAAATTAGTCAATTACAGGTCGATCTCGAATCTGCCTTTTCTATCAAAGATATTAGAAAAAGCAGTATCCTCACAACTGTGCTCCTTTCTAGAAAGAAATGATATCTGCGAGGATTTTCAGTCAGGATTCAGACCGTACCATAGTACCGAGACCGCTCTCATCAGAGTCACAAATGATTTGCTCTTATCATCCGATCGTGGTTGTATCTCTCTATTAGTGTTACTTGATCTTAGTGCTGCATTTGATACTATTGACCACAACATTTTAAATAGACTCGAAAATTATGTTGGCATTAGTGGAGTTGCACTAGCATGGTTTAAATCATACTTATCTGACCGTTATCAGTTTGTAGCAGTAAATGAAGATATGTCTTATCGATCACAAGTTCAGTATGGCGTACCACAAGGCTCAGCACTAGGACCGTTGCTGTTCACTCTGTACATGCTACCATTAGGAGATATCATTAGGGAACATGGAATTAGTTTTCACTGTTATGCCGATGATACTCAGCTGTATATTTCTTCACGCCCCGACGAAACTTACCAATTCACAAAATTAACGGAATGCATAGCCGATATAAAAAATTGGATGACTAGTAATTTCCTACTACTAAATTCTGAAAAAAACAGAGATTCTAATTATTGGACAAAAAACTTCCACACGTAATAACCTAGAATACTGTCTAACACTTGATGGCTGCTCTGTTAAGTCTTCGTCGTCGGTTAGGAACCTGGGTGTGCTCTTTGATACCAATCTCTCATTTGAAAGTCACGTGTCTAGTTTCTGTAAAACCGCATTTTTCCATCTTAAAAACATATCTAAATTACGCCATATGCTCTCATTAACAAATGCAGAACAATTAGTTCATGCGTTCATGACATCAAGGCTAGATTATTGTAATGCTCTACTGGGTGGTTGCCCTGCACGCTTAATAAATAAACTACAGCTAGTTCAAAACGCAGCAGCTCGAGTTCTTACCAGAACCAGGAAATATGACCATATTAGCCCGGTTCTGTCAACACTGCATTGGCTGCCTATTAAACATCGTATAAATTTTAAAATATTGTTGATTACTTACAAAGCACTAAATGGCTTAGCTCCGCAGTACTTGAGTGAGCTTTTAAAACATTATAGTCCTTCACGTCTATTGCGATCTCAAAATTCTGGCCAGTTGATAATACCTAGAATATCAAAATCGACTGCTGGCGGTAGATCCTTTTCTTATTTAGCACCAAAACTTTGGAATAGTCTTCCTACCATTGTCCGGGAAGCAGACACACTCTGTCAGTTCAAAGCTAGACTAAAAACACATCTCTTTGACCTAGCATACACATAATACATTATAGACTTCGATAATTCAATGTTAGGCTGCATAGATTAGGTCAGCCGGAACTGGGAACACTTCCCTTAAATCCAGATGTACTCGTTACATCATAAGAAGAATGGCATCTACGCTAACTTTAGTGTCTTTGTTTATCCCGAGGTTTTCCTGCAGCCTGCCGGATCCAGGTCGTATCCAGATCTGACGAAGGAGATTCGCCTGGACCCGATGACAATGCAGTGCTGAAGTGTCAACTATCCTCTCCCTATGGAGGATCCCTTTCCCGCTCTACAGATAAAGCGTTGTTGAAAATCCGGTTCGCGTACCTCGAAGTGATAAGATAAAATTCTATATCAAATTTATAGGCAAGACAAGTAGTTTGTTTAGACATGGTTTGTTGGGAAATTACAAACCTGCGCACACATATTCAAACGAATTTAACTATAGAATCAATTTTTAATGCGCATGTGAACGCCATCAGGTCACAGGTTCGCGTTTAAAGTCTGTTTAGAGAGAACGCCGTCGTCTTAGTGGCCCCTAATGTAATAACAAATGATAATTTTGCGGGAAGTGAATCAATCAAAACAAACTTTATAGCGATTTTTGAATAATGTTATTTCCAGCTAAAGCCAAAACAATCTCTGTTACCGTAAATTGTATGTTTATCTCTGTAAAGCTGCTTTGAAACAATCTCCATTGTTAAAAGCGCTATATAAATGAAGATGACTTGACTTGACTTGACTACTACTACAGATTAACTATCTACACATGGACAAAAACTATTAAAAAAATCAAGACAACCTTTGTTTTACGGCATTAAAAATGGACCAACAAACATAATTTGAAAGTAAAATGAAAGGGGAAAGAACATGAGTGAGAGTCTAGGTTTCAAACTACAGTTAAGTCAATTAAAGACTCAGTGGCATGGCAAATGGCAATAGAGCAAACCTCAGCTCAAGCTGTCTGCTGCTAAACCTTTAAGGCTTATGCAACAGAGAAAGCTCTGATATTAACGTATCGGGCTATTAATATGATGGCATAATACTGCATTATTGCATAGCAGAGATGGACATAATGATGGAATGGCCTATCATGACTGTACTCGATCTAGACAAATAAATAATCCTAATAAAAAGAGTCTCAGCTACAAGGATAATATCACTACCAATATTGAATATCGCTAACACATAAAAGATATTATTTAGAAATTATATTGAAAATTTAGTTTTGGTGATATAAATACTTTAAAGATCTCATGAACAGACTATTTTCCATCAATTTCCTCTTTGCAGCCATTTGATGAGTACAAGAAATAGGATGAAGCATACATAACAAAAATGCAATCCCTGATTTGAAATTACTCTGGTAAGAAACATCTGCTGAACAGATGAGATGTAGAGCAGGACTCATCTATAGAAGCAGACCAATCTTCCTGTGTACTAAGCCTTGTCATTCTGAGCCTGAAAACTTAGAGCAAGGAAGAAAACTTTGCTTGGATAGGAAGGATATGCTAATTACTTATCAAGGACAAGCAAAGTCATCATTAGCATAACCAACATCTGTCCAAAAGCTCAGAAAAGAAATAAAGAGCTTCTGAACTGGACGGTCCTTCCTGCCCACTGGGTCCTTTTTCCCAGCAGACCACATGCTGACACATGCTTCTGGTCCCTGACAGCTTGAATGCTGCATCACAGACACCACATACCAAATTAAAGCATAAAGTGCATGTGCAGAAAAAGTTAAATATGTCAGATAACAATACATTTCAATATTGTCCTTTGCTAGTGGTAAAGACAATGCAATATTACGGTAATACAGGCCACGATAGAAGTAGGAATTTAAATAAACATGGAAAATATCCTATAAGACTCCATATACAGTATTATTGTTAAAATATAAATTATTAATGTTTAAATGTAAATGTGATTAGTCATGAGCATTGCTGTCTTTTCTGTGGTGAGAAAGCTATACTGTATGTAGACCTATAATTAGGCCTACATTTATTTGTACAACTGGGAGAACACTTTACATACACGACTTGAAAGAAAAAAAACTACCATCACCTTTTTCAAAAATAAAACATCTACACATTCTAGTCATAGTATGGATAGTCTTTTCTGTTAAAAAAAAGTGCACTGTGTGCATCTTTTTCTGAGTTGGTTTTAAACAAATAATTCTGCACTGGCACCAGAAACATTAAGATATCTAGACTACACTTATGTTAGTATGAAAACAACTACACAATCTACAGATTTTTTTTGGTTTAGTCAATTGTAGTCCACTCCTGTACTGGTAGGCCTAAACCATGCATTGAAGGGTGGGGTGGTTATCAGCCTGATGGTATGTCTTTGTTAGGAACAACAGCTGTCCAGTGTTGTATTCTCATTCACAGTTTTTTATTCTAAAACTACAGCTGAGAGCTGGTGAATAAAATGGTGAGTTCTAGCCAGGGCTGGTCGATGCTTTAACAGGGAACTGACACAAAAATCTGAAAACCATTCTGCAAAATAAAGACACTGAAGGTCCAGAAACATCAGAGGAAGGCCTAACGTTACCTGGCCATAATTATTGTGCACTGACATTATTGTGTACTGCATAGACTGACATTGTTTACTGCTGGCTGAGTTGGAGATACAAACACGTTTTATTGACCAGTGATTGGATACTGTCCACGCCTTAATAAAATAGGCTAAATTACACAGATGATGATCAATGACTCGTTACAATCTAGAGATTAAAAACTTAACTGTTCACAGCCTCCATGTTAGTCCTGAACGCTTAATGTTAAATTCTCTTGTTTGAGTGTTTTCATAAATAGCTAACTGCGCCCTTTCGATAGGCTAGATCTGTTAGATTCAGCGGCCGAATCCCTCAACCTTGTGGGCTACTTACAGCATTCTGGGGATCATCAATCAAATTACATCATCATGGTCATGTTCTGATGAAAGTAAAAGACAATAAACGTATCACGGCCTCGTTTAAATCATTGGGACAGAGAATGAAAGTGAATATTCAGTTGCTGATCATTGTGGTTGGCTTTATGGCTAAAGGAAGAACAATACGCACAAATCATCAGCGCCGTTCAGTAACGTTACCTGTGTTTCCCGAATATCCTGCTTCGTTCCTTCAGGATACCACTGAACCCGCACGAATTCTCTACCGAGAGGCCATGACCGTGTGTCCGCCGCCCTGCTCTCGTTGTCGGAGTTACCGGGAGCGCCTCCACCTCCTCTCCCTCCGCCATCACAGTCAATCTCGGAGTCCGAATCTTCAAAATCCTCCTCGCCGTGAATCATCCGTACGAGCCCAAAACGCATCGCCCCGCGGTGTTTTCCAGAGACCAGGTCATGCGTAAACAGAAGCCGCTGTGTTCCGCCTGCCGTGGGAGAGTGTGTGCCGTACGGAGGCTCGGAGCTCGGGCTCATGGCCGGAGAAAGCGTTGCTGTGGCGGGTTCCGCCATCTCTGCTGCTACTGAATGATGCGGGAGGAGAGGGATGGAGAAGTGAATAGAAACCTGTGAGCAGGAGCAGCACGTGTTTACGTCTGTACGTAGAGCGTAGCGTAGAAGAGTCACCTGTTACCACTGTCCTGAATTACATCAGTGTATTTAATAGCAAAGCACTCATAAGCTACGTTTATGTTACAGAATTGCATTCAACAGAAAATGCAACTCTTCAATGCAAATGTTTTGACGTTGCGTTGTAAAGCATCAGATTGAAAATGTCCTCCAATAGTCTTAAAGAGATAGTGCACCCAAAAATGAAAAATCTATCACTTACTCACCCTCAAGTTGTTCCAAACTCTGTTGAACACAAAAGAAGACATTTTAAAGAATGCTGGTAATCAAACAGTTGACGGTAGGCCTAACCATTGACTTCCATAGTAGGACAAAAAAATACTATGGAAGTCAATGGCTACTGTCAACTGTCTGGTTGCCAACATTCTTTAAAATATCTTCTTTTGTGTTCAGCTAAGGAAAGAAACGCATACAGGTTTGGAACAACATGAGGGTGAGTAATTGATGACAAAATTTTAATTTTTGGGTGAACTATCCCTTTAAGATTGGTAACAAAGTCCCTTTCAATAGTCCTTGGTAGTAGTAGTAGCAGTGCCATTGGGAGGGGCTGGGGCTTAAGCCATTGTATTACCAAAAGCCACTGATCTTTTTAAAGATAATACTTATATTAGTAATAGGCCTACTTAGTAAAACTTTGTAGTGATTCCTATTGACATATTATTATTAAATTATATGAGTTTTTTAAAGTTGTTTAAAAAAACAGTTGTTTTTTAATCAGCCACGAGATTCTACTTTGAATGAACACATAGAGAGGAAAATAGTAAGTAAATAACTTAATAATATCAGTTATCAATATCATAAACTTCATAATAATATCAGTCTGTTTTTCATTCAGTCGTTGTGTCAATTGGGAAACAGTGCATGTTTTGTTGACAAATTTAATGATTTTACATCTTTTTTGATGCCACTGTATGTAAAAGAGCAATCTGTACATTCTTTAAAAAAAACTTTGTTATGGACCAAGTCAAATGGATTTGGAATTACATGAGGGAGAGTAAAAGATGACAGAATTATCATTTTTGGGTGTGCTGTACCTTTAACTCCCAAAGCACTTGAGATCCCTATGTCAAATTATTAAGAGTTAAAGCAGCACTAAGTAGGAATTCCGTTTTTGTCAAACAGCGACCCCTAGAGTCGCTGTGGAGTACTTGTAATGTCGTGAATAGCACTCACGCAGAGATGGCTCGCACTCACCGCCGGATCCCCTCCCCCTGTACACCGGTACCTGTTCAGTAGGATGGACGCTGTAACGAGTGGAAATAAGGTATGGCCCCTTTAAGAGCTGCGCGCGCCCAACACCACATGTATACGGCGCTGGGTTATTTCTGTTTGATGCTCATTTTATCAGAATTTTATCAGATCTGTTTTTTGCCATAAAGCAATTCGTTACCTCGCGAGACCTGATATCACACGATACTTCCTAACACTGAGGCCGGCGGCTCGCCGGCCCAAAGTTGCAAGGGTGGTTTTGCGGCTCACAGGCACCAGGGGGGTACGAGACGACCACCATTCAACACGAAATCAGTAATATAAACATTACAATGACTCCAAAGCTGTTCGGTTTACTGACCGAATGAATTAAGTTTATTTTTTATTCCTAGTTAAGCCAACGCTGCCATTGCTAGACGGGTTGTATCAATTTGGACATGCTTTATATATGTTTTTACTTAATTGCATAATATAATATTTTAATAAAACTCGTGTGACAATAATATGTCAAATAATTTATCAATTACAAATTATAAGCAATATCTGACAGCTGGTGGTGCGATAGAACAATTCGTAGTGTAATGTTTGCCACTTCACTTTATTGCCTCTATGAGTCGCCAACGGACAAAAATCACGACAAATATACGTACGCCAGACATGAAGTTTACTTGGAGGAACGCACATTCTTACGTTAGTACATCTGGCCGTGAACGTGAAAGCTGGCGTACGCTGTGTTTTTGTGCGTACGCAGTGTTGATACATGAGGCCCCAGATCTTGAGGGATTGCCACTTGAAAACGTACTCGGTTACTAACGTAACCTCGGTTCTCTCTAGAGAGGGAACGAGTACTGCGTAATATCTTACGCTAGGGGAAAACCTCTTTTCCTCGAGATATTGAAGCCAAAAATGTATCCTTAATTTTGTATTAATGCAAAACGCATTGCAACAGCAAGCAGACATAGGCAAGGCGGCTTAGCGCGCCTATTGGCTGGCCTGTGGCAATTGCAGCAGCCTATCGAGAGAGGCCATTCAGTGACAGTCCAATGAGGGCGCTTCGCGCCCATTGCGTCACGCTCCCGCCGTAACGGGCGTGGCCTAGCCTTATAAATACGGCTCGATGGGCTGATATACTCTGGTTTTCATCGCTGAAGCGAACCAGCGTACTGCATGCACGGCAAGATACGCAGTACTCGTTCCCTCTCTAGAGAGAACCGAGGTTACGTTAGTAACCGAGTACGTTCTCTTACGAGAGGTTCTCTCGTACTGCCTAATATCTTACGCTAGGGGAACACAATGCAAAACGCCGTGCATGCTGGGATCCGACACCAAAGTCCCAAGGGCATGTGCCCGGGGCTCATATAGTGCACAATCACCAGGGACTCACACAGAGTCCGAGAAAAGAGGCTGGAAGCATCATTCTCAATGACATTTAGCATCCTAAGGGAGCTAGTCACTTAAGTGTTCCACACAGCCAGGGTGAACCATTCAGCCTGAACTGTGCAAAAAATCACAGGTTTAGTTGCCCGTGTTAGCTTTAGTCGGCCGCGAGCTGTGCTCAAGCGGATGCAGCATTCTGAGCCGAAGTTCGGGGCAGATAATACTTATTTAACCGACAACAGCTTGGCCTGTAAGGCGGGAACTTCCAGGTTATAGAACCTGATAAATGTAGATGGGGAGGCCCAGCCTGCCGCCATACAGATATCTTGAAGTGTAACTCCGCTAGACCAAGCCCACTACGAGGCCATACCCCTCGTGGAATGCGCTTTAACGCCTATAGGGCACTCGAGGCCCAATGACGCGTATGCCAGCGCTATGGCATCGACTATCCATCTGGATAGGCTTTGTTTCGAAGCGGCTAGTCCCTTAGAACGCCCGCTGAACGAAACGAAAACCTGCTCAGTCTATCTGAAAACTGACGAGCGAGACACATAAGCTCTTAATGCCCTGACTGGGCAAAGGAAGCTCACGTCCCTTTCCTCGCTACAGACCGGCAGAGCGGACAGGGAGATAACCTGGGCTCTGAACGGTGTATTGAGAGACTTGGGAACATATCCATGTCTCGGTTTGAGTATGACTTTTGAGTCATTTGGCCCAAATTCCAGACATGTCGCGCTCACCGAGAGCGCTTGCAGATCCCCTACGCGCTTCACTGAAGCGAGAGCCATGAGAAACGCTGTTTTGAATGACAGGTGTTTCATATCCGACGAGCGGATTGGCTCGAATGGGGCACCTTTCATGGCTTCCAGAACCGTGGAAAGGTCCCATATGGGGACTGAGGGGGGTCTGGGAGGATTCAGCCTCTTAGCTCCCCTGAGGAAGCGGATGACCAGATCATTTCTTCCCAGTGACCGGCCGGTCGCAGGTTCTGTGAACGCCACTAAAGCCGCCACATATACTTTGAGCGTGGATGGGGTTCTGCCCTTATCCAGTAGCTCTTGAAGGAAGGAGAGAACTTCCTTAATCCCGCAGTCAGGAGGTGAAAAGCCGTGTGCTTTGCACCATCCAGAGAACACAGACCATTTTGAGGCATAGAGCCGCCTGGTAGACGGTGCTCTAGCCTGTGTGATCGTGTTTAGCACTCCCTCAGGGAGGTTTGCGGGTACCTGTTGATGGCCCATGCGTGCAGGGACCATTGCTCCGGGTAGGGATGCCAGATTGAACCCCTGGCTTGAGAGAGGAGGTCCTTCCTCATCGGTATACGCCATGGGGCAGTGCTAGTCAGCTGCATCAGGACCGGAAACCATGCTTGGTTCGTCCAGAGTGGTGCCACGAGGAGCACTGAGCATCCATTTTCCCTTATCCGATCCAGCACTTGAGGCAGGAACGAGATGGGGGGGGAAAGCATAGAGGGGGCAACGGGGCCAGACGTGGGCCAGCGCATCCCTGCTCTTGGAGAAAAACTTCGGGCAATGAGCGTTCTCTCGAGACGCAAACAGGTCTACCTGCGCTCTGCCGAATGTCTCCCATAGCAGAATGACCGTCTGCGGGTGCAGAGACCATTCTCCTGCTGGAACATTGTTCCTGGACAATCTGTCCGGACCCAGGTTCAGGTGGCCGGGCACATGTGCTGCTCTCAGTGAGCGCAAATTGTGTTGGGCCCACACCAGGAGGCGTTCCGTTAGCCTGTAAAGGTTTCGGGATCTGACGCCGCCCTGGCGATTTATGTAGGCCACCACTGACATGTTGTCCGAGCGGACTAAGACGTGATGGCCTTTTATTCGGGGACAGAAGCGCCTCAGCGCGAGATCGACTGCCATCATTTCCAGGCAGTTTATGTGTAGGAGCTTCTCCCGTTCTGACCACTGGCCGAAGAACAGTCTGCCCTCGAGCAGCGCTCCCCATCCCGAGGTGGAGGCGTCCGTGGACACTACCTGCACACTCGAGGAAGTCCCCAGGTTTACACCTGACTGGTACCAGTCGTTCGCTTGCCAAGGTTTCAGGGCTGCGACGCATTCCTGAATGACCCTGAGGCGAAAATGACCGGAGGCCCAAGCTCGAGGCTGTACTCGCGCTTTCAGCCACCACTGCAGTGGGCGCATGCGGAGCAGACCCAGCTGGAGTGTTGATGACGCTGAGGCCATGAGGCCCAGCATCTTCTGAAATCTCCTGAGCGGGACTATGGTGCCGCAGCGGAAGGATTTCACGAAGCGCTGAATGTTCAGCCTGCGCTCTGGCGATAGTCGCGTTGTCATAGACAGCGAGTTCAGTTCTGTGCCCAGAAAGGAAATTTCCTGGCTGGGAGGCAGCGAACTCTTCGCCCAGTTGACTGTGAGACCAAGATTCTCGAGGTGTTCGAGTAGCATGGT